AGAAAAGAAAATGAGGCTCACCTTAAGTCCATCGCACAAGAAAAAACACATGCTTTAGTGTGAGATGATAAGAATCTCGTACTCCAAGGAATTCATTCTCCTTTGGAGGACGAATTTTTAATTAACACAAAAATGCACACGGCACTTCATCTCATGTAATGAACACAGAAATCTGTTCAAGAAATTTGAGGAAAATGAGAGTAGGGGAAAAGAATTTGCGTCCTGATGCAACTTAGCTACAAGAGCCAGATGTATATACCAGCAGTTGACTGAAAAAACTCTTCTAAATCCTTTCCTTGATCTGCATAAATCCAAAGGTAAGCTCAGTCCAAAGTAAATTGTCAGAATACGAAGAATATCTTAGCCAGACATAGAATTCTGTCATTAGTGTACATGATAGATGACATGACTTTTTCTTCGGTCGTTACAGATAAAATGACTACACCCCTTTCATCTGTGTATTTATAGTTAAACAACATAGTATCTTGACTTTGTTGTGAAGCGTGATTAAACAATTAGCAAAATAATTGATACAGTAATTCAGAAATGATAAAATGAGGGTAGCGATTTTGACACTCCTCTTTTACCCATCTACACTCCAAATTGAATATTTTACAATTTTTTTCTGCAGTCACATTTGTGGTGCATGAGGCTAAACATGGAATGTTAAAATCACTAGCCTAAAATGAATAGAGAAAATCCTCACCCTTTTCATATTCCAAGGCTTGAAGTATCATCTCGATCTGCATAGAAGGAAAAATTACAACAAACAATCCAATGAATACATCAAGCACTAAGAAGAAAATTTCACAACACAAGTAGGATGATGCTATGAGGATTGGAAAAAATTGAGGGGAAAATGGGGATCAAAATTTTCTTTTATATATTTATTTTTTATTTCATGTTCTAAAGTTTTTTTATTTTTCATTTTTTCTTTGTCCCACATATAAACCTAGTTGCCCGTGTGAGCAAATAATTAAGCCCACATGTTGAAAGAATGGTTAACAGATAACTAACAGTTGCAAGAACTGCAAACATTAGGGTCTATATTCATATTGCAATGTTTTGATAGTCAAGTAACAAAGTGAACTGACCCCTATATTTCAAGGGGGTAAATTATGTACTCTTTTCTCTAAATGAACTTCGAAATCATATTCTTAATTTTACTATTCAAAGACTGAAAATTTAAGACGTTGGTAATTTTCAAAATATTATCATTCATAATCCTTAATCCCAATACAGATAGTGCTGCATACATCTCTTCAAGACCACGTCAACAAGATCATTAGCTGGCCAACTACACTTAATTTTTTACCATAATATGACTAGACACTAGACACTAATTAAAAGTAGAATCAAAGTTCATTCATTTAGCAAGAGTAATAAAAAATTGCATACCTTGTCAAGGTCCTTAACAATTTTAGCTTCTGGCGAGGAATTCCCCTCATACTCCATCCACAATTCACCTATCTCTTTTGCTGAAATACGAAAAGCAAATAAAGCAACCAAAATGTGAGAAATAATTACCGATTTCAGGTATAAGAATAACAAATGCGCAATCCTGGGATGAACTAGTTTAAAACCTATTTTCCCTCCACCAAGTAATTTGCACATGTGGTCTAATGCCTCTTGCTCTCTTCGACTCTTCTCAGCCTTCGGAACCCCATCGGAGGGTGTTATGTCCCCAACAATGGCTATCCAATAAATTATAAGAAAGCAAAAAATTACAACCTTAATAGCAATGATAAATCAGATTTCAAAAAACACTTGTTGTTTGAAAAATCAAGTTTCTGGGTTTTTTTTTTTACAATCCAGATAGTCCCTCTAGCATATTGTGGATTTTTTTTATAAATAATTCACATGGACTCTTGTCTAAGTGTACTTCTGATACCATTCTGTTAGCATAACATGCTTACTACATACAATTTTTTGCTTACAATATTTCTACATTTTCATTTCCATTATCCAACTATCAAAGAAAAATGTACAGAGTTTACTTTTCGTTCACCTTCAGCGATATCATGAACAAGGGCGATTTTTATGCACCTGAAATTAAGTAAAACCAAATCTTAGAAAACACCCGAGACCCATAAAAATAGAAATTGAAGTAATCGCAAAACTCAACTTGTCTCGATCGACACCGGGGATATCAGAAGCAATCAGAGCCATTAATCCCATTCGGTACATATGGTCAGCTATAGACTCTGGATCCTTTACATCTCTCTTCACCCATCCAGCTCGTTTCGTAGTCTAATTCCCAATAAGAACAAAAACACATTCAAAACCAAACAATCCAAAACCCATTCCCACAACCAAACACACAAAAAGAGCCATACACAAATTTGATTACCTTAAGGCGGTGACAGAGCGAGAGAAAATCAATGGCAGAGGAAGCGGGGGCAGACGAAGAAGAAGAGGTTGCTTCGCGGTCTGCATTGGATGACGATGACGACGAAGCCTCGGTGGCCATACGATGAACCCTGGAAGTGGAAGACGGTGACGAAATGGACTTGAATGAGAATCTTATCGGAGCGGAAGCGAGAGAGGGAGTTAGGAGGAGCGATTTACAGAACAGTCGGCTCATTGTGGTTTTTTTTTTTTTTTTTGTGTTGATTTTATTATTTTTTTTATGTTTTCCAGAATTTTGTGATCAATTTTTGTTCGGTCCCTTTGGCGATCCTAGAGATTCGGTATATCCTGGTGATGGTTATTAGAGTTTGGGAATTATCTCGGCCGTACACGTCAGGAAAAAAAAGGAGGACATGTGGAAACATAATGTTGTTTTCTTAAGCGGATAAAGGGTAGTTATCCATGCACTAACATATGATAATGGATCGGTTTGTGGTCGGGTACGGTAATATCATTTCGTCCCGCTTCCATCTCGGATAAGAATTTTCGGGCAAATCCGTTCCGAATCTCAATCACATTCATGTTTACGTATCAATAATGGAGAAAGTAAGGAATCAGAGAATTTAGGAATCGGGAAACTACTGAATCGGTATGGGAAGAATTATTCTCATTAAGCTGTTTACTAAACATATGGAATTAGCAAAGGAATGGGGTTGATTCCCATTGTTATTGTTTACTAATTTTCATGAATCAGAATTCAAATTAATTTGATTACTAAAATGTCCTGCACATTTTCACCACAGCACATATATAATTCTGAAATTGGCTAAAGAGACCAAACTAATCCGGTAGCAAACTAGTACGGCGGTGTAAACATGAGGAATCAATATGTTGAACAAGATGAACAGCAAGAGGCCAGTTCAATGATAATGTTAATAACACCTTTGTGAAGAGTAGTACGGCGGTGTAAACATGAGGAATCAATATGTTGAACAAGATGAACAGCAAGAGGCCAGTTCAATGATAATGTTAATAAAACCTTTGTGAAGAGCCAATTTCAAACGAACAAATAAACTCCAAAAAATATATATCTTTCACCTACGTAACTAGTAAACAATCAAATAATAATGACCTGCATAATCTTCATACTACCAAAAAAAAAGATATATAATCTCCACAAAAGTTTTTATCTATGACCGTACTATGTTTTGTGATGAATGTGAAGACAAAAGATAGAAGAAGATAGATAGATAGATAGAATGATTTACAAAGCACAAGGCGTTACTGCTGCTTATGGGAGGTTGTGTCTACAACGATAACGTGAAAAAGAAGTTGGAGCGTCTTGGAACTTCTTGGCGTGAGTTTTTATTTTTTTTAGGGTTTGGGGTGTTTTGGAATTATGGTAAAGTAGTAAAGGTATTTTTGGAAGTTATTAAGAGAAAACAGGAATGAGAATCGTATCGACTACTCCCCCCTAGGTGATCTGATACCCAGTTTTGAGGGGATGTGATTACAGATTTTGAGATGGGGCCCACTTATTTTTTCATTCCTGATTGCAAGTAAACGCAAGGTAAGTCAGGAATGGAAATCATTCCCTTTCCTCCCATACCCATTACTGATACGTAAACATGCCATTAATTGACCTATAAAATTCAATGCAATTACTCATAATTATCCCAATTTAATTGAACAAAACTAAGTAAATATTATAACCATATATAGTTATATTATTTGCATATTACTTAAAATTAAATATATCACTTATCAAGTCGGGTTCGGAGATGGTACTAACAGTACTATTTTGACCCGTACTCAACCAAGGATTTATAAAATTTGGGGTTCCCCAAACTCACTCCCGGATTTTCCTCGAAATATCACCATCATTAGGGTGGGAGATTTTTGTCATCCCTACATGCACTTCCCCTTTCCTAATATCGCTAGTATAAAAAAAGTGATTGATAGACCAATACACTAATTTGGAAAGTACGGGTGTCTCATTAAATGATATATCTTGGAAAAGTATGTTAGATTCTTATCAGTTTTGAAAGTAAAATTTTAAAACTTTTTTTCAGTGCTTAGAATATTTGATATAATGAAACATGTGATCTTTACGTACACGAAAAATAGTTATAATAGTAATCGTGATTAGAGTTAAGAAATCTGAGGATGAGAACTGTGATTTTGGGGGAGGGCAAATTGAATTACAAGGTTTGACAAATAGTTTTTTTTTTCTTTTCCTTAAAGCTTGGTTTTGTTTTTGGGGATTAAAGAAAATAGAAACAAGCATACCATTGTTTTAGAGGACCCAACTCCAATGTTTGGAATGTTTGGATATGATTTAAATTAATTTGAGATTAGAAATGAAGTACTTGAAATCGAAGCAAGCTATGAATTGATAGACTGGCCTTATACAAATAACCCTCATATTTGTATTAACTTTTTAATTTTATTTTATTGTGATACTCCTAACATGTATTATTTACTACCAAGGAACCATGATTGGTAATTGGCACCAACTCTTAAAAGGGATAAAAAAAAACTCTCACCCCTTTAGTTTAGACTATCACTTATACTAAAAAAAAAAAGAACAAAAACCAAGCAAGCACATGCACACACTTTGAGCAACCACACATGTTTGGACCCCAAAAAAGTACTTGAGAAAAATAGTAAAATTTTAATTAATTAGTAGGTTCAAGGTTTATGCATACAAACGACCAGATCATTTAGTGTAATGAAGAAGATTAATCCGCAGGAGCAGGTGAATCCACATCAACGGTTGAGACACACTCTTTCCGTATTTGCAAACTCTTAGGATATGCCTTGGAAGCATTTTCTTTAAGGCGCGGGTTTAGGAGCAGAAATTTCACCAATCCATTGTGACAATCATGTCCCATATGCACTAAGTGTTCTGCAACAATTTCTGGTGAGAGGCTTATCGCGGAACATACCGGCGAAGATCTCTTTAGCACACGGCGGCGTCATATGTTTGGTACATTCCCGCAAAAACTTGTAGTATCCTGGATATGGCTCTGGTGGTACAATAGGAAGGAAGTCTGTATCATCCACTCCATGTTCTGCAACAGGACTAATATATTCATCGTCATAAGCATATGAAAACTCAGGTGATATTATTAGTGCTATATTTGTTCAGACCAAACCCACCATGACAAAGACTTTTCCATATCCTGCCATGTTGGTTCAGTTCAAAATTGTGAGTTGAGGTATTTTGGATTGATAATATTGGAAGGTTTCAATATCTTATTTATAGTTTTAAATGCATCCTTGAATTTCATGTTCGTCCTGTTTTGAACACTGTGATGCCCCGTGTTTCTAGCAGGCTGTACTTTGGCTGCTATTGTTACTTGCTGGTGTAAGTGAATGGCACTTCATTCAAACAGGTTATTTGGTCGATCATATTGAATGTCGATATTTGCTTCGCTTAATTTGCGGCTGCTCTCAAATGTGAAGGAGCTCTAATGCTTCAATGATCAAATGTGTAGGAGCTCTAATGCTTCAATGATCAGTTTTGGAAGAGTTTCCAATCCATCATCTTGAGCTCCCACTGCGTACGACCAAAAACAGGGAAGTTATAAAAATAATTTTCTACTGAGAATAATCACAACAAATATGTAGTTTTCAATTTAACTTGCCTTTCAAAGGAAGAATACTGACGCAAAAAGGCTCCATATGAATGAAAAGAAGAACACTTCCTCATGTTCTTGATCAGCGGATACGATTGAAATGAGCAAAAGGCTCAGGGTTAGATTTGGGAGCTGGTTTAGCCACCTCAGGAACCCCAAACACATTCCAGAATCTGAGTGTCTCATCACCAGCTGCTGATGCCACTGTGCAACCATCCGGGCTCTGAACATGTGCAACATAAGAGAATTTAGTATTTTGTCTAAGAGGGAACATGATTTATGACATTCATAAGGTTAAGGTTGTTACCTGAGCCATATAAAGAACTCTAGAAGTATGGCCAGTGAGTTCTGCAATTTTAGCCATTGAGGGGTACTTCCATAGAGTAAGCTGATTTTGGGTAAATCCATGTGAACTAAGCAGCTCTCTTTCATTCTTGTTCCACAGCAAAGCACAAACATGAGAGCCCGTGTCAACCGAGTTCAGGCATGCACCTGTGTGGGTGTTCCAAAACTTTATGCACCGATCACCCCCACCTCCACCAGAAGCTAATAAGTTGCCCTGGAAAGGACACCAAGCAAGGGCTTTCACAGCAGCTGTATGGTCTTCAAGCCTGTGAAGCCACTGAGTCGGTGAATTTGAAGATGCCACTGACCTGTCCCATATATGGAGGAGGTTATCATTTCCTCCACTAGCTAATTGCTGGCCTGAGGCTGACCATTTAAGCCCACAAACCTCTTGTTCATGTCCTCTGTATGTCTCAACAATGTGTGATCTAACTCTTACATCATTATTAACGATACAGCCATCCATTCCTCCAGTTGTAAGAATGTGATTGTTCCATGCCATGGAGCCTACTCGTGATCTGTGGCAACCTCTCAAAGTTCTCAGCTAAAGAAAGAAACATCACAATAACCGAAAAATGTTAGCAAAATCGGGCAGCAGGTAATGTAAAACAGAAAGGAAGGAATATGAAAGGTACAAAGATAAAAGACAACAAAAACAAACCAACCTGCTTATTGGCAGTCGAATCCCACAACTGTACTTCAGAATTGTCCAGTCCAATTGCAATATGGCGTCCATCAGGCGCCCAATTCACACTGGTAACAGGTCCGACTTCATCCTCAAATGTGGCGACCTCCGAAGTAGAACCATTGGTAGCATCCCACAAATAAACTGTGTTCGCAAGAGCTATCGCGATAACATTGCAGCTTCCCCAATCCAACAAATTCAGGTAGTAATCATCCACAAGATCGGGAGCATCCAATGTCCTCTCTGAAGTCTGCATATATGATCAAATCATAAGTAGTCAGTTACATAACAACTACTTTCAAAACAACCAATTACGTTCAAGCAAATATAATCCAGTCATGAGATCAAAATCAAATATACACTCACTTGAGGAATGTGCCTTCGGGGCTTTGCTGGTATGTCCTGTGGTAAAGAAGAGAACTCGTGTGGGAAGAGCTTCTACAGGGGCCGGAGGTTTGTTCTTGAAAGCTAGGATTCGAGTCCGGTTCATGTTCATGGACTCTGCCAACTGCTTCCGATAGGCCTCTTTGGATGGGGAAGATACCATAGCTGGGTTTTTCTTAACTTTCCTACTTTCAGTCAGCATGAAGTGCGCGAAATCAAAATCCATCGCTGATCTGTTGGGGATGAACCTGTCCAGCTGATAGTCACATAACGCAAGCACATCAGAATATCAGTCTATTAAAGATTAAAACCCACATTTTTATCATATTTCTAACTGTTTTTCAGATTCAATTTAACTTTAATGTCAGATCCCAAAACAGATTAACAGAAAACCCTATACATACATGCACATTTCGGAAATAAAAAGTCCAATGAACAGAGAAAATCCAATTCGAAGTAAAATAGAACCCCTAAATCAATCAGCAATCAAACAGATTGAACCCTAATAAAGAAAAACTTCATATAAAGAACTTGGTATAGATCGAAAATCCAATTCAAAGAAAAACAGAACACCTGATTTCAGTGGTCATATAGATCGAACCCTAATAAAGATCAATTTGGTATTTTTTTTTAAACTTACATCAGATCCCAAAATAGATGAACCCCAAACGCTAGGATAAAAAGATTCAGAACTGAAAAGTCCAATCAATAAAGAAAATCCAATTCAATCTATAATGGATTGGACACTAATAAAGATCAACGTGTAAGAAAAAAAAAAAAGCTTACATTTTGCCTAGAATTCCTTTCCTGAAGAAGTTGTTGTCGAAGAGGCCACCTAGACTCTGACTTCAACTTAGACGAAGAACTCATTGATCCTGCATCCATTATGTTTACTGCGCACAAAAATATATATATATATATATATATATATGACTACGCAAGAAAACAGTACGAAATATCAGAGAGATCAAAAATGAAAATTCCTGCGAAAAGAAATGTTAGATTCAAGAGAAAAGAAACCCAAAAAGAATGTTGTATATGACTACGAAAGAAAAGAAAATCGGAGGCCGCTTTATTAATTGCGTATTCAGAGAAGAGAGAGAGAGAGAGAGAGCGAGAGAGAGCGCGCGCGCAAGTGATTATTAAGAAGTTGAAATAATGAGATGAAGGGGATTATTTAGATGTTGTAATTTTGTGCGACGACAGAAAGACCACCCACATCCAGGGGTACTATAGTAAAAGCACATTTACCACATTGGTCAAATACAGCGGACCGTTGAGTTGGAAACCGTATCTAGTAATTCCTTTTTAGTGAAAAAATCCTTATAATGAATTGTATCTAACTTTTCAAATTTTCGCTAAATTGAATTTTATTGAAAAATTTGAGGGTTTTTGTTTTTGTTTTTTTTATGAGAAAGAAAAATTGGAGAGTTAAAATGGTAAGATTCATATTTTTATTTTTTTCAAAACAAACAAGAAAAAAAAATCCATTTTTCTGAACATGCCTGGAGAAAATTGGCGAGTTTGTTAATGCAATTTGTCATAATGGGAGAAGGAAAAGGAACAGGTGAGGTTGGTGAGCAATTTAAAGTTTTGTGTTTATTTGTAATTTTATATGAAAAGTATCAAGGCCTCCCCCAAGCAATATGCCTGAGAAGGGCTGTATCTAGAAAGAAGGATGCATACATATGTATTTTGTAGTGATTGGACAACCATGCCCTTATTTATTTATTTATTTTTTAGAATTAGCGATAGATACATTACATTGGGGAGGAGGAGGCACTTATCATGGGATTCGAACAGGTGACCAAAGGGGGGAAGGGGGAGGGACCTCACCAGTAAGGTAAACCCCTCGATTGGCCTTATTTATTTTTTAGATTGCTTGAAGAGGCTTTTTCTGCTTTTCATATGGTGCCAAAGAAGTTTTGCTTCTTGCTTTTCATATAGTGCCAGAAACATAGATTACATTTTCACGTGAAAAGAAGTTGATGTTGCTTTTTTTTTATCATGAGGTCTTCACATGCCTTCATGTTGCTGTTATGGCTTCATTATGGCTGCTTGTGCTTGTTGGGAGATTCATGCTTTCATCATGTTTTCTATGTTGTGTATCTCTTCTTCTCCCAAGTTGTTTCAATATACGTTGCCATTATCTTCTGCTTCTAACTGATCTACTATATTGTTGTATAATTCATCAAAAATTTGCTCTCGTATCTTGCTTATCTTGAACCCGCATGTTTCATCTGGTCTCTTGGATGTAGTATTAGAATCAATCTTTATAATGACTGATGAATGAGGTTTTCAAATGACCATGATTAAACAATTGTTGTTCTGCCAATGTTGCTCCTCTGTATTTTTTTTTTATGGCTTGCTTAGTTGGTTCAGACTCTAGAGGACTAGCATGCTCAGCTAAAAATCCAACTTCCCAACCCATGTGATGATGTAAAACATACAAAGCCCATGCCTACTCAAACACTTAAAAAAACTAAAAGTAACTCACAAATCAAAGCCCAATCCACTCAAACTTTTATAAAAATAAAAAATATAAAAAGAAATATAAGCAGCCAGCCCTTTTGGTCGTGCATAGGCATAGCTGACAATCAATGGCTTATCCACATAGGGGCAAGAGAGGTCAATTGACCCTTGCAAGCTCGGAATCCACCATTGGAGGCGAAGATGTTGACCCTTGCAAATTGTACACAAACTGCTTAATGAAATGCTCCAAAGTCCAGAGGCTTTCCTAACGTCAAAACGACGACGTTGTACATATTACCTTATTTCCATTTTCATCATTTAAGTAAATGTCTTTATCCTTTTACTTTCATTTATTTTTATATTATTCCATTTACTTAAGTTTACAGTGTAAATAAGGAACCCCATTTGGATTCAAATAAAAATACTAGAAAATCACATTCCCACCAAATCAAAATATAAAATATTGGTTTTAGTACAAACTATGATTTAGGCTAAAAATGATGGCTCATTAAGTCAATATATACTTCATACTAAAATCCCATCAAATCAAGTTTTCTTATTTGATGTGTAAGGAATAAAAGTCGCCAAAAATTATCTTGAGAAAATGATTATTCCAAAGAACCATTCTTCATACTTAGCCAATATTTTTACATAAAACAATTTTTCATGTATGATATGAATGCATGAAGGGATTTAAGGTCAATCTAGATAAAAAGCCTCATATGTTCAATCCACAAAGGCCCTGTTTGGTGGGCTGGACTGGATGAGATTTTTTCAATTAAAATGGACATGGGTCCTATCCATTGTTTGGTGGGCTTATAATGTATCATGGACTGGATTTGGTTATTGGAACCCCGTACTTACATAATCTATACTTCAATAGATTCGTGCACTTGCGGGTATTTTTAATTGGTTGTTTGCACATTAATTTGTGTCCTCTTAGGAATGCAACACACGCCTCCTTCTTTGATTCGCGACTTGCTCTGGTTTGGTTTGCTGCTCTCTCTCTCTCTCTTGTGCTCTAGTTTGGTTTGCACGCAGATCGTCTCATCTTCCAGTAGATCCGACCAAACTTGAGATTTGATTTGAAGGAGGAGCCTTGCGATTCTTGCAGATCTGATCTAATTTGTTCTTGAGATTTTATGGGGCCTTGCGATTCTTGCTCATTTGATTTTTTGCTCCTCGTCTTCGTCTTCCTCTGGGGTTCGAGTTCGAGTTCGAGTTCGGATTCGGGGCTATCCTTGTCTCTGTTCCATTCCCTCTTCTCGATTTCCTCATCTGTTAGGGACCATAGCGAGCTCAGAGATGAAGATGGACCGCTCAATGGTGTACCTGCCAGGGAGAAAAGTCTAGTTGGTGTTTATTGCACCAATCTCAACTAGATTTTTGAGAATTGTATTCATTATTTTAATTATTTTGTATTTTTTTAATTTGGCTTTTTTTTTCCCACTCCTGCAATCTCAACTTGGTGTTTATTGCACCAAACAACTGCTTCAAATCCAGTCATATCCTAACCAGTCCAGTGTAATATATCCAATCCAGTCTAGTCCAGTCTAGCTTACCAAACGAGGCCTTATGGTTTCCTAGTCCTATGTCGATTAGGAGTTGCAAACTGTGCCAAACTTTAAAGCTTTGTAATTAGTGGTTATTTGGTTTAGTACAAAGTGTTATAGGTTTCCTTGTTTCATGTGGATTAGAACATCTAATTTAATTGGCTTAAGTCTCTTGGGTGAAGCTTATAAAAGGATGTACCTGTGCTATCGACTAAAACACACTCACCCTCATTTAGAGATTAAGAGAAGGAGCAGGATAGCAGAGAAGATTTCTTATTTGCTTGAAGTTGTTATACTTCATGTTCTAGCTATGTCTGATCACGGTTAGTATTGATTACATATAGCCTATTTAGATTTACAGACTAATAGTCTAATGTTCGAACCCCATGACATCTTTGTAATATTTGTGTGGAAAATCCCCTTCCATTGTATAAAATAAAATAAACAACTAAATTATCAAGGGATTCAAGTTTCAATAACACAATAGTGGATTTTTTTATTTTTATTTTCATATTACACTGTAGCACGTGCTAAATTTACAATCCACCAAAAGTGCAACGTGTGACATAGTGACCTCCATTAGCTTCCTCTGTCCTTTCACTTTTTCTCAAGGTGGGGGTGATAATTCCATCACTGACACTACCTCAGTAATTAAGGGTTCTTTCATTAGCTAGTTATTCATTTACCGGTATTTAATTTTTTTTTTTTCACGTTGAAAGAGGTTTGTTTTAAATCCGAATTTTTTTGTTTGAATCCAACGGCTGATGTACGAGCTGGAAGTGCGACCCAATGTCACGTTTGTACCAGCTGTCTCCTTCCTTTTTAGCTATTTCCTATTATCTTTTTTTGGGCGAAAGCTGTTTCCTATTAATAATCATGCTTTAATTTTTTTTTATATCCAATTCCCGGAAATTATTATACCCACAAAAATTGGAAAGACGAATTCTAAGCTTTTATCATTATTCCAAAAAACCTCCATCCATTCATACTCAAATTTCGGACAATTCAAAAAGGCCAAGAAAATCTCTACTTTATTTTATGCTACACTTTCCCGAGAAAATAGAATGCCGGAAAATTGAACCTTTCTCTCAGACTCTCCTCTTTTCAAACGATTCTTAGGATACCCACAAGAAAGGCATATTGAAATATTTCCTTTACAAAATAGAAAAAAAAATTATAACAACTTCACAGCTCTCCCAAGTAAAGAATGTATCTCGGATTTTTTTTTTCTTTTTTTTTGCCCTAGGATTCTTTTTCCCCAGGTTTTTTTTCCTTTTGGTTGGGGAAAAAAATCCTAGAAAATTTAAAGTAAGATTAAAAAAAAATAATAAAAGGAAATAAAGGAAAAGAAATATTAATTTACAGGCTTGCCATGATTGTAGCCGTAATAAGAAAGATACCACCTAACAAACTTCTTCAACCCGGTCTGCAAATCGGTTGTGGGCTTATAACCGAATTCCCTTCTGGCCAAGCTTATATTCGCGTGCGTGAACGGAACGTCGCCGTTTCCAGGCATGTCCACGAAATTCTTCTTCGCCTTCATCTTCAAATGCCGCTCCAGGATGCTGACAAGTGTCGGCACGGTCACCGGTGACGTGTTCCCCAGATTAAAGATCCGGTACGGTGCGGGGCCCCGCTTCTTCCCGCCCGACCCGGTACTCTTCCCGGATGTATCCAAAGACCCCAAACAACCCTTCACAATATCGTCAATGTACGTGAAATCGCGGGCCAAGTCGACCCGGTTCTTGCCCCGGTAAATGGTGATGGGCTTGCCTTGGAGGATGTTGCGGGTAAAAGAGAAATACGCCATGTCGGGTCGGCCCCACGGCCCGTAAACGGTAAAAAATCTCAACCCGGTAACTGACAGGCCGTAAATATGGTTGTAAGTGTGGGTAATTTCCTCGCCGGCTTTCTTTGTGGCTGCGTAGAGGCTAGCGGGCTGGTCGGTGCGGTCAGATTCGGAGAAAGGAACGTTGTCGTTTAGGCCGTAGACGGAGCTGGACGAGGCCCAGACGATCGACGGCTGGGGATTGGCCGTTTTGCAGACCTCGAGAAGCGTGACGAGGCCGGCGATGTTGCTGTGGACGTACGAGTGGGGGTTCTCCATGGCGTACCTGACGCCGGCTTGAGCCGCCAAATGCATCACGTGCGTAAATGCCACGGTGTCGAAGAGCTTGTCGAGGAGACGATTGTCGTTTATGTCGCCTTCCACGATGAAGACGCCGTGGCTCTTGAGCAGCGAGCGGCGGGCCTTTTTCAACGACGGGTCGTAGTAGCTGTTGAAATTGTCGATCCCGACGACACCGTCTCCGCGCTTCTTGAGCGCCAGCGAGACGTGGGTCCCAACGAAACCGGCGGCGCCGGTGACCAGTACGGCCATGCCGCCGGAGCGGTGGATCTGGGCGGAGTTGCGGACCTGCTTCTCCCACTGGATGCCGCCCCAGGAGGCGGAGAAGTACCGGCTACCGGAGTCAACGAAGCTCTGGAAACTCAAATACGACGCCGTCAAGGCGATCAGGAACAGGGCCCACAGGAACATGGTGCTGGTGGAGGCGAAGCATCGGTGGAACTGGCGGTTCATGCCGTGGCCCCGCTCGATCTTGAACTTCCCTGGCGTCGACGGAAACAGCTCATCTTCCAATGCAGACGGCATTCTCTGGTCTCTCTCTTTCTTTGTTTTCTCTAACCAAAATTGAAATCTCTTCTTTTTTTCTTTACAGAATCTTGGGTTTTTAGATTTGCAGAGAAAGAGAGGGGTAGAGAAGAAGATTGAAGAAGAAGAAGAATACAAGTGCAGAGAAAAAGAAATTTTATTTTTGGGTGATTAAATTTTCTGCACCTGCTAATAGATTGAAGATGATGAAGGGTTATATATAGTGGTCACCCACATTGATACTCGACAAGGCAAACGCGTGAACGCGTTTATGGACCGGGACGGCCAGTTAGAAAGTGATAGAGAGAAAAGAGAGAAACAAAAAACAAAAACAAAAAACAAAAAAACAAAGAAAAAACAAAAAGGGTATTTTCGTCACATAAAAAAAATAAATATACCTAGGGTTAATGCAGTTGAAATTGTTGAATCAACTTTTTGTTTTTTCAGAATTCCATGTTTTTAAGCACTCGACTGTGAAAGGTAGAAACACTGTCCTCCGAACCGACCTAACAAAAGTTCAATTGGTAGATTCTGTTTGTTTCCTTAATTGACTAATTAAACTAAAAGAGTGGATTGGTGCTGGCAATAGTAATTATACGACACAACATAGCAATGTTGCTTGATAATTTGTAATTGATTTTAATTAACAAATCTGATTTACAGTAATATAAAGCGATGATGGAGATTTTTTTATTATAAAAATACAAGCGATATTGGAAGAAAGGGAAATCGAAATTAGAACCTCGATGCATACTCTTGATCACTTGAGCTACAAAGTCCCTTATGATAGGGGGAGAGTAGGCTTTATGTACTGCAGTCTAGATAGTGGTATTGGTGACTCAATCAATCAAGTAGGCGATTTGATAATTTGGAGAACATGGGCGCCACATCATTGGGCTGTTTGGTGATAGTGAAAATCTGGGTGCAATAGAATATCACTCAAATCCCAAAACGAATATTTTATTATTCGTTTTCAAAAAAATAAAAAATAAAAATCAAGAATAAAATAGTTGAGAGAGTAAGGTAAATAGTAGTTTAGCTTAGTCTTAGACCGGTCACCGGAAGAAGCGGTCATGACTGAGCGAGAAGATAAAAGAATTGAAGGGGAATTGAGAAAAAGGGATAAATCGGGAGAAACGGGCAGAAGCCGCGTGGCCGGTAGAAGGAACGAATTGAACTAATTTTTAATTTTTAAAAGATGTTATTGGGGATCGCGGGCGGTGCTCCTTCAATTTGATTTCTGTTTTTCAAGAAGAATTTGTACCTTTTGTATGACTCACACACTCTCGCTACCAAACTTTTGCCAGTTCAGCACACTGCGGTGGTGGGGCCCACCAAGTAACAACTAAAGTTTAATTCATTTATTTAAATTGTTTGTGGTAATTTGAAATGGATATAGCAATGTTTTGGTATCTCAAGCAACTTTATTTAAATTGTTTGTGGTAATTTGAAATGGAGATAGCACTGTTTTGGTATCTCAAGCTAATCATGCTATATCAAGTAGAAAAATTATCACGCATGGTATAACATGACTGACGAAAAATAACAAAATAGTGTCATTTCCGTTCCACACAAGTGTCCGTGTTTGAAGAGAGCAAGATGAGCTATTTATAGAATGTGGATTTGCTGGCAGATGATGAGATAGAGAACATGATCCCTGATAAGTCCAAGACTGTGGACTTTTGTACATGTGCAATGTGCATGGTTGTCTTGTCTCCACCTCCACTTCTGTGGAACTTTCCTTGAATGTTCATGTATACTTAAATGACCCCAATTTTATTTTTCAATGCATTTTTCTTTTTTGTACTTTTCGTCAACTCCTCCACTTTGTATAAAATATTGCCAAAAATCAAAAGAAAATTCCTCCTCTTGTATTAGATTGCTTCATTGATTTTAGCACCCAACTAATGGTTCAGTATCTTATGATTAGCAGGATCAATTCCCTTGTTCTTTCTTTAGAGCTGGAAGTTCTTGTTTGAACTAAAGAACTTAAGACATATAATCCATAATAATAATTTAATAGCACCCCGTATCATAAGTTTCTACTTCAAATTTTAAACGAGTAATTAGGTTATAATAATTTTAAATATACAAGTTGTTGTTGTTTTGATTTGATAATCCCTAAAGTATATATGATTTTCATCTAATAACATGGTATGTGCCTTTTTAAACTACTTAATAGTATATGCATATGTAGATTCGTGTGTTTGTGCCCTTTTTATTATTATATATATTTTAAATTTTTTTTTATATTTTAAAATTTATAGAGAAAGGCGATAATATTTTATTGAAGAAAAAATGACTCACTAGTAAAAAACAGCCCCCCCCATATATCACACTTATAAAAACTACTTATTACCATTCTTAAATAAAAGATCAACAATAAAATCTCGTACCACATGCGTTACCACTCGTTAATTTAATTAGGCCATCTCTAGTCATAGGGCTAAATGTAGTATAGGGCTATAATTCTAGCCCTCCAAAAAATTAATTTTTTAAAGAATAGTATAGGGCTAAATTTTTCTATCTTCAGCCATGTAGGGTTATATTTTAGGGCCCTCCATATTTTAATATTTTGAGAAAAAAAAACTATGGTTCAATACTCATATATTCCACTACTATGTATTGTTTAATTTAATTAAACTACTATTTAGAGACAATATTTCATACTCAATTTTTTTGAGAAAAACTATGGTACAACACTCATACCTCCGGTCAGAATCAATTTTTTATATTAAAAAAAATGAATTTAAATACATTTAAAAAGTTAAAGAAAAAGTAACGGCTAGCTGACGTCAACACACACCTTTAATATCAGCCTTTGGATATGCAGTTGCACGAGATGTTCCGTGCTCATGCCCAAGAGTGATACTTTCTCTTTCTGGGCAGGACATGTGCTAGGCCACGAAAAAATTGGCCGGAGCTATAGCTAGGCTACAAGTGGCCAAATTTTTTTTTAATCTATGACTGAAGATGAATTTTATAATATTTTAGAGCTACATTTAGTTTAGCATATGGTTAAATCAATTCCGTTTTCGTACAAATTAAATTACAATGCCTTTTCGCATTTGACAACTTTTTCTGTCGATTGTAGGTAGAAAGCCGCTACTTTTGACCGCACCTCATACACAACAGGCACTGTAGCCCGTGCTAAATTGCCCTTATCTAAATGAAAAGATAAGACCTATGAGTCTATCACTATATAGTTTAACTTTAATGAGTAGATAGCCCAATCTTGTTTCTTTGGTATCACGTGGACTGGGAACTAACCCCAATCGTTTTGCCGATTAAAGCATCTCTCACTTCACTATCGACTGAAAAACTCAAAGCTCTCTCTCCTCTCCTCATCTCTGCTATCTCGTCAATCTGTCTCAGTCTCTCACCACCACTACCACTGAGATACGCCATCTTTGTATTTGAAACCTTCTCTGTTGGGTGATGAGGTTAATAAAGCAAGATGACCAAACAATGAAGGTCGGGTTTTGGGCGGTGGGTGGGTGGGGGAGGGTTCTGGAGTTGTGGGTAAGGGAGGGAGTGTGAGAGGATGTGGTTCAGATCAGAGAAAGGGGTTTTGGGTTGGTGGGTTGGCAATGGATTGGGTCAGATTATATATGTGTCAAGAATGCTAAATTCAAACCCAACCCGTTTAATAAACATGTCATTTTCGGGTTGACTCGTTTATTTTCTATGCGAGTTTCGGGTCATGTACGTGTTGACCCACTAAGTGGTTAGCAAATAAAAAATAAATAAATAAATCTGAATTGTGATAAATTAATCATGTAATTGCATTTTTTATTTTTTTTTATATAAAATAATTATTGCATTTTTCCTCTCTATATATAAAGATTGAGAATGAGAAATTGAAAAAAAAAAAATTTAAAAAATTTAAAATAAAGAAAAAACAAAGAATGGGTTGGCGGGTTTCATAGGTATTTTATTAGATTGGTGGGTTATATAGGTATTTTAGCGGGTTGACTTGTTTAATAAACGAGTTAAACAAGTGTCGGGTTGGCAGGTTACATAGGTATTTTAGCGAGTTGGCGGGTTATATAGGTGTTTTAGTGGATTAGCGGGTTGACCCGTTTAACAAACGAGTTAAACAAGTGTTTTAGCGGGTTAGCGAGTTGACTCAAAACCCACCGGTTTATAAACGGGTCACTGGCGAATTGACCTGAAAATGACCCATTTTTTAATCGTGTGGGTCCGTGTTGTTTTTTTCGTGCGGGATTCAAGTCGTGTAACATGTCGTATTGGAAATTGCCACCCCTAGAGAGAGATAGGCGAAAGGGGAGGAGGATGGTGCAATGGGGTTGGGTTTCATCTTCGTTTTTTAATAAATCTTTTGTTTTTATCTGGTTTTTTAAAACTTTTTTAATTAATTAGAATGTTCATAAAAGATTTATCTGTATTTTTGTTTTGCTTTTCTTAGTTTTTAAGGTTATCTATTGTAGACATCCCTGAACTTTGGCCCTAGTTGCAATTGGGTCCGTGAACTTTTTTTTGTCCCAATTACATCCTTTAACCAGACAAACAGTTGCAATTAGGTCATGCCGTAACAGAATATGTCGAGTTTGACCATGTAAATGGCACATGCTCTTGTTCTAACCAGACAAACAGTTGCAATTAGGTCATGCCGTAACAGAATCTGTCGAGTTTGACCATGTAAATGGCACGTGCTCTTGTTCTAAGGGGTATATTCGAGTTTTCGTCGTTTTGAACGAAACAAATCCCATTTATAGCTGAAGAGAGGGGGGAAATCACTCTTCGAAACAACCATTGGAGTTCCATTCCGTGAACCGACCCTTCTGCGGTAGCCATTGGAGTTCGATTTGCTGCAGCAGTGACTAAGTGAGTGAGAAATTTTGTTTGTAAGCTTCGAAATTTGGGATTGATTGGTGTTACAATTAAGGGTTAGGGTTTCATTTTGGGGATAGTTGGGTTTTTCGTCCTTTTGGCTGATAGTGATGGAAGAGTTTGACTTCTATTGGGCTGGTGTTGCTCCTAAATACAATAAGTGATTCTGCCTATTTGAATACATATCAGTTGGTTTTGTTTTCATCTGTGTGGTCCATAGCTTTTTAAGATTCCTTACATGCTTGCTTTACACTGTCATTGACTGCAACCTTTAGGGTTTTTTTTTCATCCCTTCTTGTCTTCTATGCCTCACTCCAAATCGACTGAAGTTATTC